CCTAATCTCTTATTGTCAGCAGTTTCCTGGAAACATCTCTTGTAAACTGCAAGGAAAACACACATGGAGTGCGCTACGTTTCAGCAGTGCTGCAGAGGGTGAACCCTGAGATGCAGGTGACTTTTGTGGAAAAACTGGAGGTTTCTAAACACAAGTTTTACTCTTTTTAAGAAATGGGAAATTTTTTTTTTAAAGATTTATTTATTTGTGCATACAGAACTGGGGTACAGGCCAGAGGCTCAGGGGCGGCGAGAGGCTTCACCAGAGACAGAGCGGGGAACAGGCAGATCTACGAAGTACACTCCTGAGGGGAGCAGCGGGCGCGTCAGGAGAGGTCTGCCGCGCCATGTGGTCACCTCCGGGGCAGGTGGGAATAGAACTCATGCAGAAGCGGCTTTAGATTCTCAGTGTTGTGCTTTAACCCGCTGCACCACCAGGGAGGGCCCAGAAATGGGAAATTTTTAAGGGTAAATGTTATGTCTGACTTACTAAGTCTCAACTTAGCTATCCAGCAAAGAAAACTGGTTCTGGTATTTTCTGGAGTGCTAAGCATCACTGCCAGAGGCCAAATGAGACCCCAGGAAGGCAGGAGCTCAGGTGGGCTAAAGATGCATTAAGGATGTTGAGAGACATAGGTTTCAGAAGCATGAGTTTTTATTCCATATATACTTTCCTTTGTAGGGAGACATTACAAAAAAATTTTTTTTCTGAAAAATACAAAAATTCCACATTCTCTAAATCTTTGATTCTACTTGGCCTAAGAAAATAACCAGAGGAAAAGGAAAAAATTTTAACTCTTTGCTCTACATAATCTATTCGTAATGCAAGGTTGCTACAATAAGCTTGTGTTTTATAATCTATAAAGATTTGCAGTACTAAATGGGGAAAAATATACCAATCCCTATGAGACAAAATATGCATAGCATTATATAACAAAATACAGGAAATCAATGTCCGATACTAGAAGAATGAATAAGAAAATTAGGGTACGATTAGATCCTAGGAGTTATTACAACAAAACAAAGTAATGAAAAGTATGCAATAGCATAAAAAAAAATCTTAACAGTTTAGGAAGGAAGAAAAATGGCCAAAAATGTAGGTGGCTTTCTCTTCTCCACTTTCTAACGGCTATGCAAAAACAACCTGGCTTTCCTACTGCTTTCATTTTTAACAGGAAAGATGGATGTACGAGAGGCGACCTCAACAATGCTGTACCGACCAGCAGCACAGCACCGAGGCGGCAGCCCCAGTGCTGCCCTGCATAAGGGCATCGCAACACAAACTGTCCTATAAATTGCAGATGATCACTTCGGAGTTATGAGAAGGGCAGGTACAGTGGGTAAGCAGCTGTGGGAGGAGATGTGCCTAAAGCTGAGCCTTAAAAATGAGAATTGGGGGCCCTCCCCGGTGGTGCAGCGGGTTAAAGCACAGCACTAAGAAGCTAAAGCCATTTGCGCATGAGTTCGATCCACGCCTGCCCCGGAGGTGACCACATGGCGTGGCAGACCTCTCCTGACCTGCCCGCTGCTCCCCTCAGCAGTGT